ATGATGTTGGGTAGATTGCCGATCCCGAAAGACAGAGCAGCAGTTAGGGCACTGATTTAATATCACTCCAGAGTTTAGGATAGAACGGATACCATGATGCGCCGTTTGATGTGCTAGAAGCTGTTGATAAGTAGCAAAGCCAAGATCACAACTCTGATGGGTAGAATCTAAGAACTTACATACATGTTCTTGACCAGACTGTGGGACCTGAAATTGAGTGTGACGAAATAGTCGGTCCCAATGCCTTCTATCCGTAAAGACTGCAGAGCGTAAAAGGCTGGGGTCTATCTTCAAAAACTCATGAGCCGTATCTGAGTTCTCCTGGAATAGTTCTTTCCACGAATCGCCTGAAGCCCCCCATGCTTCAAAGAACGTCTCTGTACCACTAATATCACGATAACAGTCGAGGTCACGAGCAAACTGACGTATCCACGGATTGGCCGTGCTGCTTAATGTGCCAGATGGTGTGAGTGTGGATTCCTCGTTCAGGATGTGTCCTAAGAGGACCGAGACGGTCTGAGCGTGAGCGTGCCTATGCTGAACCATACTCTGGAGCCAACGAACCCGTCGAACCGCGAGCTCGCCCGCGCTCGGCAGGATGCGCCACTCACGCAGGACCTCGTCGTTTCTCAACGATACGGCGTGGGATCCCTCCCAGTTCGTCGCCGAGCCTTTCATCAGTACACGAAGGTAGCGGACGATGATAACGTCGATACGAGCGTGCTCCGACGAGGTGAGAACGAACGCCTCGAGCCCCGTAAGGCCCTTTTCCACGACAGTGCTGAGATAGAGTTCCCGCTTAAGTCGTCGTAGTCCCCTTTCATGCCAGAAGAGACCCATCATACTCCACCCTCCTCTCATCCCCTGGATACGTAGCTCCACCTCCACACCGTTGTTCCCTTTCATCGTGTAGCGTGCGCCTAGATGCCGTGCATGTGCTTTAACAGCGCCGTGTTTAGCAGGACAAAGTTCTTGCAATTGTCGATTAGTTAGGGTGGGGCCAAGATGTGGTATAATGTCTTTCTTGCCCATATTCTGAGAGAAACACCACTTCTGGAGAATGCGATTCATAGCTGCATCGCTGGCTGAGATATTCTGAATAACTTCCTGAACATTCATATTACGAGGTACAAGACGCTTACGGAAGATGTCGTCAGCAAAGCCCGAGAGGGAGACGTCAATGCTAGATTCACTGCCAACTTCGCAATGAGCAAGAATGGGAGTGTGCGTAGGATCAGCACGCAATTCCTCAATTGTCTCATGGAAGACCCCGACGAATTGTTTAGGCATCTCGCAAGACCCCTGGAAACCCCCGTTCTTCGTAAGAAAGAAGTGACGCCCCTGATGCAACTTGAAACTCACGACGCCATTCCGAATACGCTGCTCTGCAAAGACCTGGAACTCTGGCTTCACAACTCGATCACCCACAGCCGCTAAAGATGAGGAGGATGGGCACATGAACGCATTGCTAAGATCGTGGAGCTCATTCAAGTGAGGGAGGGCAAGACGACGAAGAGCGAAGCCGACGCGCTGTTGGACAAGGATTGCCCCCTCCCTCCGCCGATGCCTTAAGAACCCATGCCACCACCCAGGGAAACTTGAGTCGTAATGCTTAGCTTCCTCCCCCCAGCTATAGATAACGGCATACCAGAATTTCCAAAACGTGTCCAGCAGGTGGATAACTCTAACGCTTTGCATCTTGTCCTTGTTATTGCTCTTGTCTAAGAATACACCCTCAGTAGTGTTGGCCTTCGTAGGGAGTTGCTCCACTTGCATTGCATGAATAATAATATCTATAAATGCTCTACGAGCGCGTAACAGCCCAGCTGAAACCAGGAAGCGGTTCTCACGGCCATCTTCAGCCCTAGCACCGCCATGGGCACCAGGAGTTTCACTCCGGAACAGACTCGGTGCGGGAGAACCAGCAATGCGCGCATCAAGGTCGTCGTCTGCCTGGCCCACCGCTGGAAAGAATTCATCATCAGCTCGTGGCACAAACTGTCCAAGTACGGGCACAGGATCAGGTGTAGCACTTGCATAGCCTAAACCAAAACCTTGAAAACGGGTTTTAGACAGATGGCCAGGGTCGAGAACCATGAGGGCGACTTCGACGGGGACGCTCCAGCTAACTGTGGCACGACGTTTCTTTGCCCGACGTAGCTGATAGATAAGCCTAGTCACCGACGTCTCCGCCAGCACTTCCACGTGAGAAGTTCGGGTGAGGCTGCCAGCAATGGGGGGAACCGCCAAAAACTCGGCCAACTTAGACTTATAGTCCTCCAGATAAGTCGCCTCCATTCCTCCATCAGCTCCTTTACACGTGATAGCCTCCTTCAGCTCAGAGAAATCGGGGGTAAATCCAGATATGTGGTTATATTTGCGGTGCTTAACCCCCGTGGACCTCCCAGCTAAGACACGTGCTAATCGGTGAACCTCGGCCTGGTGGCCCAGGCGGCGGGCCTCATGGAGGTCCTCGAGTACAGCAGCCCGCCGTCGAGCGCGAGTCCTGCGGAAGAGACGACGGAGCAGACCACCAAGGTGACGGATTCTCCTGCGGCACTCCAAGTGTTCCTCCGAATAGCAGGGGAGATGGCCATAGGTAGTCCAATAATGATGGAACTCCCAACGATGCTGATGACGTTCACGGACGAGAGATAAGCGCTCACGACGTAAAACACGATACACATCATGCTGAGGGATAGGTGCGAGTGCAAAGTGCTTGCGCGCCGTGTCCTGTACTATGCTAATCCAGTGATCATACTCACGATCCGTGTGCGTGTCCTGCTGGTACTCAGAGAAGGTAGGTTCCGCAGACGCAAAACTTGCCTCCAATTCTTCGTGAAACTCTTTCCGATACAAACCAGACTGCAGGGCTGCTGCAAGTTTTTGAAAGTCCCAGCGGAAGAAATTCGGGTCCCGAAAAAAGTGAGGCATGGCATATTGGACTTCCAAAAGTACTGGCATGTGGTCGCGCGGTCGCCCGCTCGGAATCAGCTGAAGCTCTCGCCCGCTCCTCCAGGCCACCTGACACCTCTTTACCCCAGGAAGAAGACCACGAGGAACTAGAAACATGTCGATGGTGCTGGTCTCCCCCTTATTGCCATAGAATGTCGGACCAGCATGGGGGTAGAAAGTGCACGGGGCCGCCATATCTAAATCGAGGACGAGATCGCCAACCATCGTGCCCCCGAGTCCCTGACGACCGACATGATGAGGACCGATCTGTTCACCAGCCTCATCTCGACGCAAACCATCACTTCCCAGACCAAGACTAGAGTTGAGGTCCATGCCTACGACTACTGCACTGCGTGTCGCGGCTCGTTCAACACGTGCTCTAAGATGCTCATGTGTGCTTTTTATTGCTTTTATTTGGGCTCGACGCTTCCCCCCAGATTCATACAAGGGCGGCGGGTACACCGTGATCAGCGTAAGATCTAGACCAGGACCCTTGATGCGGACTTCGCCATAACGTCCAGGGATGTTCGAAGGACCTGCGTGCACGTGCTTGATGTAGTTAGGGTGTAGACGCCTCCCCAATATGATGCAACATCCCGCGCTAGAATTCGAGTGAGGGGCCCGACTCCAGCCGAAGTGTAGTGCGATCCTGCGAGAACTCAAGCGCTCCACGTGATACGTACGGCCTACCCATTCCCGAACACACGTGCCCTGGAGGAAGATCACATCCACATTAAGCCGACAAGCAATCTCATCTACTCTTCCTGCAGATACCAGGCTCAAAGGGTTGTACGTGACAAACTTCAGAGACATGCTACTTCTGAAAACAACTGCACTTCTGAAAGCCACTGGGAAAAATATGTTGCCCCCCACGAACGTCACCTGCACACATCAGAGATAGGCCCAGCCATGGACAGGCGCAACGCTGGGGTGTGGAAGTGTGTGCGATCGCCCCTGAAAAAAGAAGCTCGAGGGGAAGGGGCTGGGAGGAGGGGGAGGGCCAGGAGGAGGAGGAGGGGGAGGGGGAGGAGGGGGAGGAGGGGGAGGAGGAGGGGTGGGAGGAGGGGGAGGATGGGAAGGAGGAGGGGGAGGAGGAGGGAGAGGGGGGAGGAGGCCAACTCTCTCTCTCTCTCTCTCGCCATGTGGTGGTGGGGGGGGAGGCGTGTGCACTCCTTTTGCGCATGCTCCTCGCCCCTCGACCGTCGACCCTCGACCCACGATCCTCGATTCTCGATCCCAGACCTTCCTCTCCTCGCTCTCTCGACCCTTGCCTCGACCTTCGACCCTCGACCCTCGATCCTCGACCCTCGACCATCGATCCGCGATCCTCGCCCGTCCTCCTCGATCTCCGATCCCCGACCTTCCTCTCCTCGCTCCTCGACCCTCGACCCTCGCCTCGATCCCCGACCCTCGACCCTCGATCCTCGACCCACCGACGCGCGACCGCTGGGGGGGAGGGGGGCGAAGAGACGTGCGCCTTTTGCGTGCCCCTCAACGTAGAGCCCAGGAGGGCCCTTTCTGGGGCTCTCGTTGTGCACGAAGGGTGGTGGGCTTGTTTCCACCACCACCACCACCACAAGTCGAAGGGGGAGGGGGTCCTCCTCCTCCTCCTCCTCCTCCTCTTCCTCTGCGTCCTCCTCCTCTCCTCCTCCTCCTCCTCCTCCTCCTCCTCCTCCTCCTCCTCCTCCTCGTTCTCGTCCTCCATCTCCTTCCCCCCTCCAACTCATGGTGGTGGTGGTGGAAAACAAGCCCATCGTCTTCCTTCACCCAGGACGGGAGTGATGCCATGGTAGGATTGGCTCAAGGTGCAGGAATCTGGGCGATCCTGGGGATCATGGAACGTGTCATGATGAAGACCCCTTTGGGGAAACCCAAAGCTACCAACCCGTACCGCTACTCCACGGACCTCTCCCTGGGTGCGCCCTGGGCCGAAATTCACAGCGAATCCAGAGGGCCTCCCAGGAGGCCCAAAACCGAGGCCAGGGTAGCAATCTCAGTTCCTTGTCCTCTTCTGACCTCCTGCCCCTCTGATTCCCCACCCGATCCTGGGGCGCCGCCCCGGGTTCTGGCGAACCCAGGCTCGGGGCCAGATGAGGCTGCGCCGACTGGTGCACGGCGGACCCCGTCTGGCTGCGCACGGTCTCGAGGAAGTGGCTCGAGCTCGAGGCCTCCATCCTCACCTCAGGCAGCCGCATGTGGGCTCTGCCCTGGCAGCTCAGATCCCTGAACAGATCGGCCAGGATGTCCGCAGCCAAGTGACGAAAGGGGCTGTCCGATTCTCCAGCGCCGATTGGATCCGCAGGGACAGGGTGAGACTTTGAAGGATGCCCGCAGCCAACTCAAGCCCAGAGGGGCTGTCCGATTTCACAGCGCCGTTTGGGTCCGCAGGGGTCGAGTGCGACTTTGAAGAATGTCTGCAGCTAAATGAGCCCCAGCGGGGGCTGTCCGACACCCCAGCACTAGTTAAATCCGCAAAGGTAGGGTTCAACAGCGGTCACAAACAATAGAGCGACGAAAGGAAACGGGTCTCACGCGAGATGACACAGCGACCTTACGCGGTGGCTTACGCGGGCCGTTAGCGCGGCACGTCACACTGGAAACGACGGCGCTCACGCGCGACCTTACGCCTGCAGCTTACGCGCCAACGTCGACGAAAACGAATCCTCGACGGAGTGCTCAGCCCGTCGGGGGATCGCCACGGAAGAGGAGGAGACGGAGGAGGGTCGCAACGGCGGGGAGGAGGGACCCCACGAGGGAGGAGGAGGAGGAGGAGGAGGTGTTCGACGCGCCGAAAACGTGAGGGTATAAGGGGCGCGGGCGGCGGAGGAAGGATGAGGAGGCGGAGGAGGAAGGAGGCGGAGGGAGGAGGTAGAGGAGGAGGAGGATGAGGAGGGATAAATGAGGGAGGAGGACGAGGAGGAGGAGGAGGAGGAGGAGAAAGAGGAGGAGGAGGTGGAGGAAGAGGAAGAGGAGGTGGAGGAGGAGCCCTGCCGCGTCGCTCGCCTGCTCCAGGGCGCTCCGCAGGCTCTGCTGCTGGTGCGCCAGCTCCCGCACCTGCGCCTCCAGCCGCTGCGCCGACGCAAGGAACGCGTCGTCGTGCCCGCCGCCGCTGCCAAAAGGCAAGCCGCGCCACGCCGGCGCGACCTGCTGCGGCGCCGCGCGCTGGGGTGGCGGTGGCGGCGGCGGCTCCTCGCGGCGGCGCGCACAGGTGAAGGGACCCAGGTTGCACACAAATAGATGCACACAAGCCCAAGGGCTCCCCCTATTTTCGCCCATTCTCTTACCGCCCCCCCTTCCCATAAAGTGTTGTCCGATGGTGTCAGGGGAATCGACGCTTATTCGTGTCTGTGTGTTTTATTTTCTGAGTTTCTC